TTTGGATTCTGCACTGGTTAGGTTTCAGTCTTTCACACTGTGTATTCTTTGGGGTGATGATGTAAATCCCCTTAGCTTTAAAAGGGTCATGGATGAGGTTCAGTTACTTGTCAAGGTGACTTATGAATGGAAGGATGTCTTCAGATGGTAAGTAGAGTGCTAGGGAAAACAGAGCTTTGGGTTACAGACTAAACAAAGCCTGTTTGGAAACAAATGCCAAAGTCTTGTTTTTCTTACTGATAGAAGTTGAAGTGAGGGAATCTCTTCCTCGTGTCTGTATTTCAATAGCTTGTAAGCAATGCAAAAACCAAGACTTCTTTAATTTTGCACACAATTTTTAAAACTCTGCAGATTAATCCCTGAGTACAATGTGAATTTCTCAAAGGTGCCTGCACTGTAGACTCCCAGGAGTTGGATTTTCATAGTAAAAGACTAGATGTTCTTCTAGGCTTATCGTAGAGTAAGACAGAACAATTTCCTGAGCTAGGCTGACTTTGGAAACACACCTCCCTGTGGCTAAACTGTGATACTATAGAATAACTGAAGCTGTTTAACTAATTTATCCTCACTGTGCTGGTCTGTTTGAGATAAGGTATTTGCAATTAAGGAGAAAGCCATCCTGCTTAAAGTTTCCTGTGTCACTGTCTTGCTTGTTGTGTTGGTACACAGACAGGTAAAGAAACCCAACAGTCAGGAGGAAGTCTTCTAAAGTATTGTGGTGTCTATTGTATGTGTGGTGGTGTGCTGGAATATTATGGGAAGGTAACATATAAAATTCTTGTTTATATATCACTGTTTATACATATGTTTGTAACTGTGTGGGTTATGCCTCTAATACATTTTGTATGTAAATACCATGACTACTGTTTATGTTTCTAAATTGCACCAAACTAATACAGCCACAAGTTATGGTGAGCAGTGTGCTCCAGGTGAGGTTGTTTTTCAATAAATGTGAGTGATCAGTTGTTACGAAGTCTAAATATTCTGTGCTCCGCTTTCACAGCCTGAAGCCATCTCCACCTGCTCCAGACAGAAGCCATAAACAAGGGGCTTAGCATTGCTTTTGAGTGTTTTAGACCTCCTGACAACTTTTATTTCATTGTGTTCCAAATTACTTTGCTGAGTTGAGAGAGTGAGTTATAGCCCTAGCTGTACTTCTTCATTCCTTAAAATTCACTGAACTGAGGAGTACTGATTGATGGCATAGTTGCACTAAAGAGTAGGTATAGTGGGAAACAATATTTGGGCTGCCTAATGGAGTAGATAGGAGTGATTTGGCTGTGTTAATTTGCTTGCACATTAGTCACATACCAGCCCTGGGAGAGGGACGTTGGAGCTATGTGCAATCACAAGTACAAAGGAGGTCCTCTCCCAGCAAGCAATGGATAGAATCATAGAATCATTGATATTGGAAAAGGCCTCTTAAGATCTTGTCCAACATTCAACCTCTAACCACAACCCCAAGTGCCACACCTACACATTTCAAGAAAACTTTGTCTGTCCATGGTAAATTAGGACTGGATTCAGTCTGCAACTTCTCTGTAATCTCATCCCTTTTGTTTTCTTCTTAAAGTGAAATTGTAGCGTCTTCTAATGCACTGAACCACCTTACAGAGCCCTGTGGCACTGAAGGCAGCAGCCCAGGAGAGGACATGTAGGTACACTGTTGTTCTAGGACTCTAGAACCCCTAGAAGACTTTTTAAGTGACATTTTGCAATACTTGAGTGTTAGCAATCAAATGAGTGCTTTGTCTGCTGCAATCATACTTGACCATGGGTAGGAAAACACAGCTTGAAAAATATTTTTGAATCACATCAACATTGCAGAGAGGAGGTCAGCACTGACCCATAGGACTGGGTTGCCAGTTGAGGACAAGGGATTTAAAAACAGTCAAGTTCTGTTTGGAAGTTGATTTCCAATAATTAGAGCATACCAGGGCAGTGACCACCTCCTCAGTGTTGTGGGAAACATCTGACTCAATATCGGAGTAGGAATGTCAACACTGCTTCCTACCAGGAATGGCGCAGTCATTCTGACTCCCACCTTGGCTTCAAGATTTCTGCGAAGTCCAAATTTTTTTGTTTCAATGACATCTGCAACTCCTTGGAAATTCCCTGGCAAAGGCTGACCTGCTGAGATCCTTGGTTTGAGGGAGACCCTGAAATGGGAGGATTGCAATAGGCTTGCCTTGCCATCTTGTTTTTTACAGCAAGTCTTACCGACATGTGGCAAACCATTGGGTTCATGTAGGTGAACTGTCATTATTTTCCTTAGAGTAATATTTAGCAAAGGCCCATTACAGAGTCCCCTGAGTATTACAAAAAACAAACTTTTTTTTGCAGTAGTACATATGTTGACTTTGCTGATGTTGGCATACAAAGCGCACATAATGAAACCAGGCAAAATTTAGGGGAGAAAGGATAAATGTGAACACTGCTACTGTTTGCTGTAGACCTGTGATGCTTTCACAGGTTTTGCATGTGCAAACATGCAGTCTCAGTTGTGCATGCAAACATGATCTCAGAAACTTAAGAGAGATTAGTTCTCTGAGTGAGATTTAAATAAATATTGCTTTTCCCAAAATATAAACATGAGAAGGGCTCAAAGGCTATGAAGGAATACAAGGCAATGCAAACCTGGGGACAGAAAGTCCCCATCATTATAAATGCATCCCGTAACAAAGGTCAGCTTCCTATTTACTGGGCTAATGTCAGCTTGACTGATGGAGAAGTTAAAGGCCCTTTAGATCAGGTTTAAATAAATCATTTATGAGAAGCAGAAGAGGCTCCTGGATTGGCGTAGACTCTGTTCTGGGTTGTTTACATACCTGCAGACAATTATTTAGAAGGAAAGATTAATTTCTGGTTGCTTTTCTTCTTAATGAATGGGTTAGTTCTGCAGCTGGATCTCTTGTGCATCTTCTGCTAAATAGTAAAGATCCTATTCCAGCATTTCAGTATCTTGAAAACTGTGGGGGAAGCTGTGCAGCACCTGCTTGCACGCGACTATGACCGTAATTGTGGATGAGGAGTAGGAAGGGGTTTGGACACAGGGGACTGTAAATAACGCATTTCCTGGCATCGCGCTTCCAAAAATCATGTTTCCTGGCAGCGTCTCTCTCTAGATTTGAGAAATGGGATGGTCAAAACATTGCAAAATCATTTGAGGAAGTGCTGTAAGCAGCTTCCACCCCCCTGTGAGCTGCAGCTGCACACTTTGCACAGCGCTGCCGCCAGAATGCAATCAAGAATAATTTCTGGACACAGTCAAACACGTCAAACATCCATCTGAGTGGATGCCTTTGCTTTGTGCCAATTCCCATTAGGTTACAGAGGGCATCTTGGTTCTGTTGACCATCACAGCATCTGTGGTGGATAGCAGAGGTGTGAAGCAGACTTGGAAATACCTACATGCTCTGAGATGCTGTCAAGAGGAGGGCTAAATTGGTAAGGATGTATTCAAATCTTCCCAGATAATTAAATCTCATATTTGGTAAAACTTCTGGAGGAAGGTGAGTTTGCTGTTGGTAAATTGTTGTCATTAGGAGGTGTTGTCATTAGGAGTTGCTTGGGGTGACTACACTGTGGTGGCACGAGGTGAGCATGACGGTAGCTTGGGTGGAGACTATTCTCTGTTTTGGGATGGTATATCTTCCTATTTCAGAGCCAACTCTATTAACTTTGGTTGGACGTGTTCACCTGCATTATTTTTAAATATGTGTAAGAAAGACCACGCGATGGTGTTGGTAGCATACAGGCAATAGACAGTTACCCAACCACACAGTACCTGTACAAAAGAATGGTGACCCTCCAGAAAAGAGGATTTCTCTACAGGTCCAGGTTGTGCTTCCAGATGACGTTCAGGAACATTTAGGGGAACAAAAAATCTTGTTTTTGGAAAGGGGCCATGTCCCATTTCAGCTAAGCATCTCAATGTAAGCTGCCAAGTGGCTCTTTCTACTTAAAATTTAAAGGTTCATAGAGGAGAAATAAAATTCCCGAATTGTTTCTCTACTCCAGCAGATGTACTCCCACCCCCTTCAAAACTCCTTCCACTTATATATATGAGGTAAGTTTAGGTCGGATGTTAGGAAACACTTCTTTACAGAAAGGGTGCTTACTGGAATAGGCTTCCCAGGGAGACGGTTGAGTCACCACCCCTGGAGTGTTTAAAAACCGTTTGGATGTGATGCTCAGGGACATGATTAGCAGAGTGGTGTTAGTTAGGGTAGGATGGTTAGGTTATGGTTGGACGTGATGATGTAGTATGGAGTATCCCTTTGGGCAGTTTAAGTCAGCTGTTGTAATTTTGTTCCCTCCCAGCTCCTTGGGCCTTTCACTGCAAATGGCCTTGCGTTATTACAGAACAGCTTAGCAGCAACTACAAACAGCAATGTATTATCAAAATTGTTTTTCTCCTACAACCAAAACATAGCATTGTCTCAGACACAATTCCCTCCTAGCTGAAGCTAGGGCATGAGAATTGGGGGTGTGAAGGTAGGGTTTGTGTGCTCATGGGGTGTACTCATGGGGTCAAACTGATGGGGCCATGCAGCAGGACAAGACCTGTCCAGGCCGCCATGGGTGACCAGTCCATAAACTCAGATCTCAGTGATGAGGCTCCCCCAGAAGCTTCCCTTGCTCCACCATGGCTTTCCCTGAGTTCTGAAGTATATCTTCTATGAATGTCTCACTCCTGCTAGAAGGAGAGAAAATCACACTTCTTGCTACATCTTAGGGTACCAAGGGAGAGGGTCCGATTTCTGCAGTTTTGACCTGTCTTGGGGAAAAGAGCTCAGGGGTGTTTGTGATGCAGCTACAGGTACAAATGATGCTTGCAGCCACCCCACAAAGAAAATAAGCAGTGATGGGTCCTGTGTCAAAGATGTTTATTACTGTGGAGACTCACTGCCATTGACACTATAAGAAGCAAGAGTTACTAGTGTGCAAGGCAAGGTATTCCCTGCCACCCTGTTGATGTACCTTGGCTGGATGGGCCATCATGGCTGGATGAGCAGGTGGAGCCTCGGCCACACATTGGCAGTGAAAGGCAGTGGCTTCAGCACCAGCCCATGGATGCAGTCCATGGTGAGGTGCTCCGCTGGGTTGGCATGGAAGGAGCAGTGGTGGAGGAGGATGGCGGTGAAGAGGAAGAGCTGGAGCTTGGAGAGCTGGTCACCTATGCAGCGCCGCTGGCCAGCTGAGAAGATCATCACGCTGCCAGCCCGCTCATGGTCCAGGCACTGCTGCTTGTCCAGGAATCGCGTAGGATCAAAGTGCTGGGGCTCAGACCACTTGCTGCAGTCATGGTTGACTGACCACTGGTTGACAAAGTCCATAATGCCCTTAGGGATGTGGAAGCCCTCGAGCTCCACATCAGCTGTGGTGGCATGTGGAATGGTGATGGGCACAAAGTTGCTGTAGCGCAGTGTCTCATAGATGAAGGCCTCCAGAAGGGGTAGATGGGGTCGGTCCTCAGTTGTGGGCAGTCGGCTGTGTCCCACCACCTGCTCCAGCTCAGCCTGTCAGTCCTGCTGGACCTGCGGGTGCTTCAGCAGCAGCAGGAGGATCCATGAGAACATTGTGGATGTGGTGTCCTGCCCTGCTCCGAAGATGTCGGTCATGGCACCTTCCACATCCTCAGGCCCATCAGGGGACACACCCCAGCACTCTACAGAGGCGATCATGACATCACTGATGTCACAGACTGCCCGCCAGTCAAAGGTCTGGTGGTGCTGTGCCACCTTGGCCTGCACAAAGCCATGCAGTTCACAGTTGAGGGCCTGGAAGTCACAGTAGACACAGCGGACAGGGTTGGGGAAGTGGAGGAGCCAGGGCAGCATGTCCACCAGACTGCTGGCCCCCGTCTGCCCAAAGCAGTCATTGCGGCCAAGCAATGCGGTGAACTCGCTGTCAGAATGGTCATAGTGGTGGCCAAAGCAGAGAGCACAGAGGACATTGGTGTTGGCCACCACTAAGAGCAGGCAGGGCTGGAAATAAGCACCACCCTGGCTGTGCCTCAGGAAAAGCTGCGCCAGGTCACCTGCCTCGGCCGCCACGTGCCGCTCCACATCGGCCACCGTTGAACAAGCCCTTAGGGCAGCATGGGCCAGCCGCCACTGTGCCTGCCATTGGGGTGAGCAGCTCCCAGAGGTGATGCTGCGCCCACCAGACACCAGCCTGAAGGAAGGGAAGTCAGGCTGGCCGGCAAAGCATGTGCCCAGCCCCATCAATGCCTGCTGGATGCCCCACCTCACCATCGAGCACCACCACCTGCTGCTGGCCCAGGTACAGCTGGAAGATGGCTCCATAATGGCACGCCATGTGCATGAAGGTGAGGTGGGGCAGATGGCCCAGCTGCAGGACATTGCCCACCAGAGGCCACGCAAAAGGACCCACTGGTGGGATCTGGCCACAAGTGGCCTTGTGGAGAGTCCTGGCAAGCAGCAGTATGGCAGTGAGCACAACGGCAATGAGAAGGGCAGAGAGAGGTGACAGCACCAGCGCTGTGGCCGCACCTTTGGGGGTCCCCATCGCACTCACAGCTGCAGCTGCTCTGCACGGAGGCTGAGGATCAGCGTGGCTTTATGGCTGCTTCCAAGATGGGCCAAACCTCTCTCTTCCCCCCAGGAGGCTGCTGTGGGCTGGGGAGGGAGAACACGGGCGGAGCCACCCCAATGAGACACATGGAGATAGGATCATGGTAGAGAGCTCCAAGTTTGGGTGTGAGGAGGGAGCGGGGTCCAGAAGGGGCTGTGAGTGGGTGTGGGGTTCAGGGAGCAGCAGGGTGCTGACAGCAGTCAGAACTTTATCATGGAGCTTGCTAGCATCACCCATATCCTCCCTGAAAGTATTGTGGACCCCTGTGGGGTGGGTGATGCTACATATCCCTGTCCCCCTGTGGAGTTTTTCTTGCTTTATTTTTCCCACTCGTGATTGCAATTGTGGCTCTGGGCTTTGCAGCTGGATTCTATCAACTCAGTGCAGCTTTTGGCAGCTCCATCACCAAACTTGAGCATCTCTGCTTCCCAGAAGGCATCAGATTGCAGAGGTGAGCTGCAGGATGTGGGGTGGCTCTGGGGACATTCCTTAGTGGCTCCAGAAGGATGATTTCATTGTCTTGTCTGACTCTGAGCAAGGCTGATACTTGCATGTAATGTCCCCTGGGCCAAGAAAAGGCAATTTTCCATGGTAAGGGGAAATTAATTCTGCACAAATAGAGTGAATTGGGCTGCCTGGAGCTTTACAGCGTCTCTGGCTGTTTACTATCCCAAAAAACAGCAAGCTGAACCAGCTTGCTTCCTGCTACTTTTTCTCATAACCCCAACCCAACTTGGGGACAAAACAAAAAAAAATAGCTTTAATCAAAACTTTGGGGCTATCCATGCTCGTCCCCAAACTCTTCTTTGGACTGCTCTGATTTTGGCTTCTCCTTCCTTATAGCAACACTCCAGCTCACTCCTTCTGCTTCCATCCCTGTTGAATGTTATACAGCTGCCTCTCCTTGACTTTGATGCTTACTCATAATGATGCCTTGGTTGCTCTCTCTGATGCCATGTGTTGCCCCCAGACCATGATGCTGCCTATTCTAGCATATAATATATAATAATATAATGTAAATAATATAATACACCACCTCTACAAAAAAAAAAAACAGAACAAGTCTTCATGCTGTGCAGCTGTTCCTCTCTGAATGGTGGGAAAAAGAAAAAAAAAAAAAAAAAAGGTGTTTTTTCCCCATACTATTTTGGTTTGGTAGGATTTGACATCTTCATGAAAGCACCCAATTTCAGTTACATATTTCAAAATAAATAAAATAAATGAGGCATTTCCTTCTAGTCATTGGCCTGTCTGGGGGCTTTCCTGAGCGTGGCTGTGAAACAGCAGAGAGAATTTTCCCATCATTTAACCCCAAAATACAAGCCTTAGACACCAACCTCCTTTCTGCTTCCCCAGCACATATTGCTGCCCCTCCTGTGCTTTGAAGTGGCTTAGAGAGAATTTGAAATTGGGGAAAGAAACACCAATTAATTTCATTTGAAAATAAAGGCTGAAACAATGAGTAGCTCAGAACAACGCACCCATTTCTGCACACACTTCAACGATAAATCCCTTCTCACCTCTAGGTGAGAGTTCTAACAGAGCAAAAGTTGGCTGGGTGAATGCAAGCCAGATGGTTGCACAAACACACAAAAACTTCTAAGAGCTTTTAAAGTTACGATTTCTAATGATATTCTGCTTCTTTAAGGGGAGTTTTAGAGTTTTTGAGAAACAAATACTTCAGTGAAAGGTAGGAAAAATGTTTCCAAAATATTATTAATTGTAGCTCCTTGAGATGAAAGCAATGTTGACAATAAGCTTATTTTAATTAATGTTACATAGCCTTGAGTCACAAGCAACTTAAACCCTTTATGGAAATACTTGCTATGGGATGTCATCAGATAACTTGAGGACATTCCTAAAGGTTCTTGTGCTAAAAAGAAAAGACCCAAATCCCACCGAGCTCCAAGCCTGGGCTGTATAAAAGCTTAGAGGGCTGTATAAGAGCTTAGAGAAGAGGAAAAATTTTTCCCATTTTATTGGGTTTTGTGGCAGTTACAAACCTTTCAGCTTGACCTAGAGAAGTGCTGTGGACTACAGAAAAAGCAGTTTGCATGCTAAGCATTGGATGAACAGAGGGAACTTCAGAGGTTACCTCAGTTGTTCAGAGACTTTGAAAAGAATAATGTGTTCTGTTAGATTAAACTGTACAACACTAACACTGGAGGACTGTGATCAAGTCATGTCAGCCTACAACAAACCACTGCCAGGTGTCGGCCACCAGCAGCACATTGAGTGCAAGGACAGGGTCTTACAGTTGGTCACAGTTTCACCAGTATATAGGGCAAGTGTCAGCAACCAAGCAGCTGTACAGCACGCCTCAGAAAAGGAAATGATGTTTTGTAGAAAAAAAAAAACAACACCCCACGTTGAGAGTCACTGAAGATCTTTTCCCTACCTGCAGGCAAAGAGTGCCTAAGTTTGAATTAGCACCTGGCTAAAGTCCAGGCGCCTGTAATGCCATCAATATTTTCATGGTCTTTTTATTAAAAAGCAGATTTCCAGAGAGAAATAATGACATACAATAAACAACATTACTGAAATGTAAATTAGCAGTTCCCAAAAAGCAGCATATTGCAGAATTCAAAGCAAAATTAACAAAAAGATTAGGGGTCGATGATAATCTCAGACACAGCAATATTCACACATTCTTTTTGTGGAATGCTATTCTGCTTTATTTTGTAACTAATTATTAAGGCAACCTGTTATGTTCTCAAGCCACCACGTTTCTTACCTGACTTACTTCAAAGTCATTAAATTACAAACTATTGCCACAAATTTTCAGATCACTGTGCTATGTCCACCTGTAGAACTCAATGGAAGCAACAGCTGTGAAGAAAACTTCAAGCATATGGTCCTCTGAAAACATTCTCAAGAAACCACATTAACCTAACACTTGACTAAAACCCAGTCTCTTCCAAGCAACACCTGCAGACGTGTCTCAAATTGGATTCACATGATGAACATGTATGCTGACATACAACAGAATCCTCAGACAGCATTTGAACAGCAGGTGCATTGGGAAAGCTTCCACCACAGGAGCCGATTGTGGCCACCCAGTCTTAGTTTACATGGGGAATGAGATGAAGTCTTCACTCTTTTGCATCTCCCACTCCATCAGCATTAATAGCAAACATTGCTTCAGCCTCAGGAAGGCAAGGAGAGTCATAAATTTTACATATTCTGGTTTCACCTCGGCCTTTTCGCAGATAAAGTCTGAGGGGGAAGAAGAAAGAAAAGAGGTATAGCCTTCTTCCAGAGAATCCTGATAGCAATTATTAAAACATTACATTGAAACGTTACATGGAATGTAGCACACTTTGAACTGTAAGAACTGAACCTGCTCAGAGTTTCTGCAAAGCAGACTGTAAGTGACAGTGGCAGACCAAAGAGAGACCCGGAATTAAAAAGTATGTATTCAGTGACACAAAATCTTCCAAAATAAAGCTAATGGAAGATGATAATCTGTTCTCTCACCTGGTGGTGGACGCATGGGCTATGATATTTCCTCCAATAGGTTTCTTGGGATCTGCTGCAAACATGGCTGCTCCATCTACTTGTGCCACAACTTGGTTAGTGATCACAACAGCCACACCAAACTAGGAGAAAAGCAACAAAGCAAAATCACTTTCCACCACCTGAATAAATTAAAAAAAACCCCCAAAAAAACCAAAAAAACCCATGCTTGTACTTCTGCTCTGCTCTCCTCTCTGCAGGTGATACTCACTCTTAAAATACAACGGAAGCAGACAATGAGCAGGCAGAACACCTTTTGTACAAGATTGCTGAGCTTCGCAAGAGAAACAAAATCAATCACCAGTCCCCTAGGGAGCAAAGTTCAGCATTTACCTCATCTGCAAGTCGGAGAAGCATACGCAGAAATCTGGCCAGATGCATCTGTCTCGCTGACAGCTCACCTCTTCCAGAGTAATCTGTCCGATACAGAGCTGTTGCACTGTCCACTATCAGCAGTGCATACCTGGAAAAGTTACATAAAGCATTCTCAGAATTGTTTTCAGAGGTGAATAACGTGACCATCTGAGTCAACTGTAAGCTGCATGCAGATGTGGATGGATATAAGCCCTTCTCACCTACCAGTTAGCAGAAGTGTTATTTTTAACACCACAGAGTCAATTTGCAGCATTCAGATTACTATGAAATAAAACCCTTTGTAAGGTGTTTTACATGGGTATTCTGCAGGTAAACAGGCCCCTGTGTATCTCATATCACCACCCCCTTCCTTCTAAAGGGTCTTATAAACCTCAGTTTCAAACTAAAGCTATCTGCACACGTCCTGGTTTTGGCTGGAATAGTTAATCTTCTTCACAGTGGTTGGTATGCTACTGTTCTGGGAAAAAAAAAAAAAAAAAGGTAAAAAAAAAAAATGTTGATAATAGATTGATGTTTTAGTTGTTGTGCTTACACTGAGTCAAGGACTCTCCTGCTCCTCCTGCTGCCCTGCCTGCAAGGAGCTGGAAAAGAGCCAGGACAGTTGACCCAAGCTGGCCACAGGGATATCCTATACCATATATAATGGCATCATGCTGAACAACAAAACTGCTACTGCTCAGTGACAGGCAGAGCATTGCTCAGCAGGTAGCGAGTAACTACACTGCGCCATCATTTTCTGTAGCAGTTGTGTTTTGTTTTCTTTCTCATTAAACTGTCTTTATCTCAGCCCAAGAGTTCTTGCATTTTTACTGTTTTCAGTTCTCTCCCCCACCCTCTTGGGGTTAGGGAGGTGAACAGCTGGTGCTAGCTGCCTGCCAGGCTAAAGCACAACAGCTGCACTGCTCTACATCAACTCTCTTTCTGAAAGCAATTATATAATGTGATCTTTAAAGTTGTTTCTCAGGCTGGCACTCATTCTTTGTCAAGTCAAGTCAGTTGTCATAGCTCAAGTTAGTTGCTACCATCCAACATTTCAAAAGGAACAGGTATTAACTCACAACTAAATTACTCACACATCTCAGTTGATACACAAAACTTACTGCATGCAAGTGTCAAAGCAAAGGTTTGAGAACAATTTCAAACGTAAGCTGTTACTTTGACAATTCAGTCATGTAGTGCAGGTGATGAACCAGTGCAAGAGAACTGTACAAGCATGTTTATAATGTACCAGCACAAAAATCACCCCATCTTAAGATGAGGTCTCATTACCGTGATTCAGCCATCATAGCAGATGCCTGATAGAGGAGCTGGGTCTGGTGATCTGTGTTAAAGCCTCGAGCATACGCCACATTATCCAGGACATCACTGCCAGACAAGCCATACCTAGAGACATCAGTGACAAAAGTCTTCAGCAACAAACAGGAGTTACTGCTACCTTTCAATAACTTGACTTTATTTCATTCATGCAGGATGATACGTTGATTAGGTCAATTTCCCCTCTAAAGAAAAGGGAACAACTCTTGTGGACCAGCACAGCTCATATTAGTTTGATATTTAAGTATAACAAGAATCTCCATGTATCCAGCAGTTTTTATTGCCTTCAGGAAACTCAGTTAATTACCTTATCCCTGATTTGTGTACAAGACACTTCTGAGGTATTACGAAGTAGAGGCAGCAGATAAGAAAACTGTCTTCCAACTGGTCAGGGATGACTCAAACATTTCTCAACAAAAAAATTCCATGTGCTGTTAAGATAAACTTTTTGTAAAAGAATCTTTGTTACAAAATATTAGTAGAATTTAAGGAAAATCTTGGTATGCCACCAACTGTAAAACTAAATTTGAGGGGGATATTAAGTGAAAACATATGCCAAGAAACAATGATGTTAGCTTATGTCACAGCTAAGTAAAAATAGAAACTTTATAAAATACAGTTAATGAACTGGTCTAAAGAGCATCTAGGTAGGCAGTGATAGAACCCAGG